AAACAGTCACTTTGGAAAATTTTCTGCACAGCTGGAAAGATAACTTTTGATACCAGAAAGATGAGGAAGTTATTCTTGCATTTAAAATGCAAGACGGTTGTGTGAGATATTTGTTTTCGAAGACGAGTTAGTTGTTGCTTAGCACATACTTATATCTCCTTCCATCAAATGTTATATAATATATTATTTTTTTCACCAATTGTTATTAATCTATTGTTCAATAGGACCTGGTTGCCTAGCTACACTGTTCACATTTGCATTCATGATTTCTTTCCACGTATTTATAATTAGACATTGATATTCCATATTTGTGAGCAATATAGATTATAAGCATAACACCCAATATTTGAAACATACTACACCGTGAAAATGTAAATCACATTATTTGATAACCATTTCCTTCAGTATTTGAAAAGTAGCTAACTCGAGTTACTTTTAACCATCTGGCTACTTGATTGGGGGTAATCCGTCAAGAAATAACTGTGCTCAAAAAGATGAAGAATCAGTTGCCACATGTTTTAATTACATCTAATGAAATGTAATGCCAGGGACCGAAATGAAAAGACTTGGAAGTTTTTGGGGCCACTAGTTCATTGTATTGGCAGTCCCATATTTTATTGGATATTTAACAGATAAATCACAAATTACTCAATTTGTGTATGGCATCTATAGTTTTGCAGACATGCTGGTTTAACTTTTTTTCATCACAAGTTTGCTGTAGAAACTGCTGTCGAGTGGTTTCCTAAAAGAAAATGTCAGCATGTGTGAGTTATGTTGTTGAATGAACGTTGCTAAGATAAACACACTCCAAAATAATCTCATATCATGTCATACCTCTGTTATGGTTTAAATCCGCGTATTAAAGGGGTTTACATCACATATTTGAATTAGAAATAAACGGCTACCACCAGTTGTCTTCACATGAACATGTTAAAAGCGCTGAGACAATACTTTGAAAATTAATACTGAACGTCCCTTAGCCGTCGTGGGCTTCCCACGACTCAACAAATAAATATATTAATAATGAAATCTCTAAAACATTTTAGAACCCTCATGACATAACAAGTGATTGCGAATTTATCTCTGGATGGACTGTTGCATCGTGTTATACATGTAGTTTGAATAATGATGTTTGTACTTGTATTCATCAGTATTTTTGTATTCATTAATAAGAATTTGTATCTCATTTGTGCGATGGTTTTACCTGCAAGTATAAATAGAGTTATTGATTGATCGAAAGAATGATTAAATAAATAAATTATTTTTTTTAAATTTACCATTGAAATACAATTATCGTGCTGATTACTTTTCCTTCATGTAATGCGCAGTCTCAGACAGTAATATTAACATTCTACTAAACAACGAATAGGCTTCCCTGTGTCCCGCAAGATCAGCGACAAAAAATCTGTGTTTATAACCGCAAAGAGCTCTGGGAAGAAGAATGAGCGCCAACAAGCGACATGGAATTTCTTAACCGCCCTCAGCGTTGAAATTGGGGCAGGGGACCAGACTAGAGATTATGATCACTTCATTCAAGATGGCGTCGTACGAGTCAGAAATCGAGTGCCAGTATCAGGAAATGATGAAACAGCTGGAAAAAGAAAAGCGCCAGACGACAGGTAACCGTTAACCGTACACTGTTCGGTGTACCGTGCGAGATGCAGGGGGTGCACCAACAATTTGCGAATTAAATATTTCCATAGAGGTTGTGTTCCGTCAATCGTCATCATTAAGGACGAATATATCGAATTTTGCGTCACGTACAAAATGCACGAGTTCATGCAGGATTGTTATTGAAACGCTGAGTGATGATAGCCTTAGCACAGTTTTAGTAACCATAGTCTAGCCCTCTATACAGTACTGTGTTGGTTCAGGCCAAGTACTGAAAGAATTTCAGCTAAAGTGGCTAATATTAATAATCAATCAATACAAATGTTTTTTTTTAGGTGAT